TTAATATTTATTATCATCTTGTATATATCATATCAGTTAATATATTATATTATTAAATATTTATTTTAATTATATTTTGAAATATTATAATTGATTAATTTTCCAAGATACTCTTTTTGATCATTTTATATTTTGTCTGTCAGTTTTACCAAACATAATTTATTAATTAACTAACTGATAAGCTAGCTACCAACTAACTTATAAGCTAACAACTAGCTTATCAATCATCTACTAACTAGCTTATCAGCTAGTTTATCAAACATAACCTAAAACTATAGGATATTTTTGTAAATTATAGCCACTACCAAGTATATAAGCAGTTATTTCATATCCAGAATGATAGCACCTAATTTTTCAGTGTCGACGGTCTGAACCGAAAATATATGTAATGTGTCGAGAAAATCACTTGGTAAAATATATGTTTATTTTACTTGGTCTTGGCTTCTTTTGTTGGTTTGTTTTTTTGTTTGGTTTTGTTCGGTTCTAACTTGGTCCCGCCTTGCACGAATTTGCTACCGAAAAATGAACAACCCGTGAACTACCGTTGGGCTACTCTAAGAACCAAACAAATCAAATAAGAGATCAAATGTTCTCCTACTTCGAATCCAATGCCTTCAAAATAAAAGTAACGATATTGTTTGAGATTGTGATTTGCACATCACTTGATAACAAAATCAGACGAATTTGTAGAGAGTCAGAGAGCATTGTTTGATTGTTTCTACCGTTCTACAGGATCAAAACGAAATTCAACCTAAAAGTTTCAGATTAAGCAAAATTTAACCTTTGGCTTGAAATCAGAAACAAAAACGAGATGAAGAGAATTAGCAATTTAATACGAATCAACGTAGATAAACGACAATTTTTATTTATATGACGATGATCTACAAAAACCTCATTACATATGCAAAGAAGAGAGAACAAGGGAGATATCATAAATACAGATGAATAATCACACCACAATCATGACGAACACGATAATCATAGCGCCAAATCAAAAAACATAATTCCAAATCAAAAAACATAACAATCACGAATTCTACGTAACAACAAATAGTAACAAATTCGAAAAGAGCAGATTCAAATTCTACCTCACTCTGTACAAAATAGTATTAACAAACCACGAACCAAATCATTGTGAGCGGAAACTAGAAGAGAAAAGCGAAAACGATTGCGGATGCAGATGCTATGGCGGTAGGGACGAAGACGGTGGTTGCGTCTGACATAGGAGCAGGAGAAGGAGGATCGGCAGCGGAGACGGTTGAAACGGCCATCATCATCATGACTACCATTACAACAAAAAGCTTCATCATCTGCATTGCCTCCATGATTAATTCTTCGTTATACTCTGCGATTCCTTCAGTTATCTGACAATGGCGGAAGAAGGGTTTAGGAACTGTTGGATTTTATAGAGGAATATGTGTGAGATCTGAACGGGCAGTGGAGATAGAAGAATGTCGCTGCCCGCTGCCCGCATTTATGGAATTTTTTGAAGGGATGAGCTGTCGGTGGTATACAGCTGTCATTAGGTGGTTTCTTTTACCACGATCTTAATTATCGTAAAGTAAATCGATTTATTTGTGTATTTTCAATTGCTTATAAAATAATTTATTGAATTATTTCGATGTGATATCGATAATAATTATTTTTTAGTGTTTATCTATACTATCTTATAATGCATTTGGCTAAAACTCTTAAAAACTCTTAAAACTCTTAAAAACTCTTAAAAACTCTTAAAGTCGTTCATCCCTAAACGATTTCATCCCTATCCGATTTCATCCCATATCTGAATTCGTGTAACTAACTACATATAAACACAATCAAATACAGGATAAACATCTCATTTTAAATATAAAAAATCTAAAATGTAATTAGTACAATAATTAAATTGTAACATAATACTTAATTATTATCTTTATAAAATTTATAATATTAAACTAAAAATAAATTGTTTTATTATTAAACTTAAATTAAATTATATATAAAAAATAAATTTTATATTATAAATCATTTGACAAAAACTCTTAAAAACCACTTTTTATGCGTAAAGTACTGTTTATTAATGCATATTACTTAAAACTCAAGATTACAAGTACATTGTACGTAGGTACAACTTATTAAAGTTCCATATCTGAATTCATGTAACTAACTGCAGATAAACACAATCAAATACAGAAAAAACATCTCATTTTAAAATAAAAAATCTAAAATATAATTAAGACAATCATTGAGTTCTAACAGAATACTTAATTATTATCTTTATAAAATGTTATATTATTAAACCAAAAATAAATTATTTCATTATTAAACTTAAATTAAATTAAAGAAATAATCTATACTGTATTATAAAGCATTTGACAAAACTCTTAAAAACTATTTTTTATGCGTAAAATATTGTTTATTAATGTATACTAGAAGGGTACTCGCACAATGCAGCGAGATACATCGTGATTTTAATATTTCATTTTATTCTTTATCTCAGTCGATGTTATAATATGACTTTATATGATTTTGAGATTGCGATAATGTTTTTATTTTTAAATAAAATATATGTTTGAAGATTTCATAAAAATTTGTCAGTATATCGATATTAGTATC